AACTGAAGTAATTCGCTTAGCAATTTGGTCAAGAAAGCTTGTAAAATGGGGCACAACTCATCTAACAAATGCTTCATTTAGCCACATAAATTTAGGCTCAATTGTTGTCATAACTTGAGGACTTACCTGTATTGTCTTAGGCTTGGCTTGGTTTTTGATTGCACCAGTCATTTCCAAATTCGAGGGCCATGCAGATAAATTTCGTGTTTATTATTTTAAAGGGACATTAAACCTACACTTACACATCAGGTGGGCATTTTTTTAACCAAGTCACCTAATTGCACAAACATTTTAACATGCTGTTTGTTGTCTCATTTTTCCCCTTTCCCTAAAAACTAGCATATCAATAGCACTTAAACCTATATACCGCTTTACCAATTTTTATTTCAAATTATAAACCAATTTGAATTGCCAAATTGCAGTCAATTAGCAGAAGTAGCCTGCAGTACTGCACTTCAACCACTGCACCACCGCGGCTCTTTAATAGAAAAAATATTAATTGTTGTATTAAATTATTCTCTTTTTAATTGTACTTTTTTTTAATAATTTGAATTACATTCAAAGAATGTAATAAAGATACGTAACTTGATTTATAAATGTAGATATCATGTAGTTAATTTCCCCTGAAAGATTATGGGAATAAATATGGGAACTAGAGTTCTGACAAGCCATTAGTCTACTCCTGCATGGTATTTTAAGCACTACTGCATTGAGACTATTGTCCTAATTAGGTTAATTGGCTTAAAAAGATGGGCAATTGTAGGTTCTCACACCATGCTAAATTTGGTATTAACCATGAATTGTTTGACCATGAAGTATAGCCAATTGATTCAGCACTTTGAGGTGAATTCTGGTTTGCTGACTAATGGCCTTAGCAGTGGATGCCTTACAAAACTTGCTTTATTCTCTTCACTTTATTCACGTAATTTATTCCCTTTATTTGAATTGATGGTTTTCTTAAAATAAAAACGTTATTGTGGCTTCCATCAGGATCAGACCTATTGTGGCTGCAGGAGAAAGGAAGACCAGTAAATCTCTCCTGATTTCACAGCCACACTAGCCTTTTGCTCTAATCAATGATAATGTTTGATTAGAATTTGGAGTGATGGCTTCCTGTATGGCCTTAAAGAAACTATTAAATACCCACAGAGCATGGCAAGATCAATGAAACTAGTACTAAAGAGAATCCAGAATGCAAGGGGAATTTCCAACCCTCATGTAGGGGCATAGAATCAAGATCACGTGAAATATTAGTGCCACTTTGTAAAACGTTAGTAAGACCACAGCTGGAACACTGCAACCCATTTTGGTCACCACACTACAGAAAAGATGTTGGGACTTTGGAAAAAGTTCAGAGAAGAGCAGTTAAGTTGATCAAAGGCCTGGAGACTAAAACATAGGAAGAACGGCTGCAGGATTTGGGTTTGGCTAGTCTAAAGGAAAGAAGAATTGTGGGNTTGGTCTCCGGATGCAATTCAAGGTGTTGGTTATTACCTTTAAAACCCTACATGGCTTAGGACCAGCGTATCTGCAAGACCACCTACTGCCTCGTACCTCCCAACGGCTGATAAGCTCACACAGATTGGGCCCCCCTTGGATGCCGCCAGCCAGACAGTGTCGGCTGGCGGGCCCCCGGAGGAGGGCCTTCTCTGTGGCTGCTCCGACCCTTTGGAATCAGCTACCCCCAGAGGTCCGGACCTTACCCACTCTCACGGCCTTCAGGAAAGCTGTTAAAACCTGGCTGTTCAGGCAGGCCTGGGGCTGTTGATCTTATTGTAAGGTCCAGCCCCGATTAGAACGAATGCGTGTTGTGAATTTTATTCTTTTATTTTTTTTCTTTTTTCTTCCCTCTCTGTAAGCCGCCCGGAGTCCTTCGGGATTGGGCGGCCTATAAATTTAATAAATAATAATAACAACCGGGTTACCGACTTGACAACTGCAGAGATGCACTTAACAACTGTGGCAAGGAAGGTCATAAATCAAAGCAAAATTCACTTAACAAATATCTTACTTAACAATAGAAATGTTGGGCTCAATTGTGATCATAGGTCGAGGTCTACCTATATAAAACCAGATATACTTAGTAACAATAACGGATATAAATTGTAATTTTGGACTTAGGGAAAAGACCTATAAATTTTATTAATAAATTCTTGTTTAGAGCTTGCTATAAAGGTATAATCTCTTTTGGGCGTCATGAGAGGAGAGATGATATAAATAGTAAATAATTTTTAGTTGACTATAATAATAACAAGGAAATGTTAATGGATAATGTTTAATGATATGTGTGTGTGTGTGTTATACTAGTAAAATCAAATTGGATATAAGCTTTAAACTGAGTTGGGGGGAAAAGCGGGGGGGGGAATGCTTAGATATTTTACTAACTGAATTTGTTTCAGAATATGTCATTAAAGATTGTTCTTTAAATACAAATGATTTTAGATAAAAACATGTTTAAATAATTGTAATTAAATGAGAATTGTGNCCACGCATGCGGGCATGACAACCACCACTACCCACAATGGAGGGTGGGTGAGTTTTTGCCCTCCCCAGGCTCCAAAGGCTTTCCTTGAACCTCCAGGAGGTTGAAAACGGCCTCCCCCAAGCTTCGGAGGCCCAAAACACGCCAGTTCCCAAACTTCCAGAAGTTCTGTTTTTTGCCCTCCACAGGCTCCGGAGGCTTTCCTTGAGCCACTGGGAGGGTGAAAATGACCTTCCCCAGGCTCCGGAAGCTCTCCATGAAGCCTTCTGGTGCCAAAAATGGAGCGTGGGGTTGTGCTGCGCCCACCCTCGGGCATGTGCACACATCTTCATGCACAGAAAATCGAAAATCAGCTGGCTGGCAGGAGGCTCGTGCACATGCACAGGGAAGCTGCACTGGGCAATGGCTTTGTGTGGTACCTGTGGCATGGTGCCATAGGTTCGCCATCACAGTTCTCTAGGATTAGTATCCACCAGGGTTTCCTAACCTTGGCTATTTTAAGACATGTGTACGTCAACTTCCAGAATTCTCCCGCCAGCATGAATAGCACTATATTCAGCATGGCTGGCTGAGGAATTCTGGGAGTTGAAGTCCACATACATATTTTAAAGTAACCAATGTACAGGTAGTCCTTGGCTTACAACACTTCACTTAGTGACCGTTCAAAGTTACAATGGCACCGAAAGAAGTGACTTATGACCCTTTTTCACACTTATCAACCATACCAGCCTCCCCATAGGCATGGGAACAAAATTCAGGTGCTTGGCAACTGATCCGTACTTATGACCGTTGATGTGTCCCAGGGTCATGGGATCCCTTTTTGAGATCCTTCTGACACACAAAGTCAGTGAGGAAGCCATATTCACTTAACATTTGTTCAGTTTCTGTCGGATAAAATCACTCAGTTTCGGACAGACCTTGACTCCGCTTGGGCAATACCAGCCGAGATGCCGAGGGTAAGTCCTAATTGGATTTCCTGGGATGAGTTCGAATTTGTCACCCCGAGGAAGTGGACAAGGCTATGGGAGCGATGAGCGCCTCCACCTGTTTACTCGACCTGTGCCCCTCCCGGCTGGTTTCGACCAGCAGAGAGGTGACACGAGGCTGGCTCCAGGCGATTACCAACGCCTCTTTGCAGGAGGGGTCCTTCCCGCAACCATTGAAGGAACCCTCCTCAAGAAGCCTTCCCTGGATCCAGCCATNATTCCCCAGCCAGCGAATGCTGGCTGGGGAATTCTGGGAGTTGAAGTCCGGACATCTTCAAGTTGCCAAGGTTGAGAAACACTGATCTATCCAACCAACCAACCACCCATTTATTTTTATTTTATTTTATTTTTATTGCTGCCTATTCGCCCACGGCGACTCAAGGTGGCTAACGTAATTTAAAACCACATTAAAAAAGAATAAAACTAATAAAAGAATCAGATAAATTAATATAATAAAATCATCCCGCTCCTCCCAGCGACAGCAGATCACACGAGCCATT